TTCTGGGCGTAATCAGCACTTTTTATTACCCTATAGATGATATTTTGAGCATTAATGTAGGGAGTGTGTCAGAACGGAAAAGTAAAATATTTTTTTGAGAAATTGGAAAATTTGCAAAGTTGATGTTCTTCTTTATATGAGCACTGACAAATAAGTGCATGTCAACAACGGATTTAAATAAATTAAGGTTCCCTAATCAAAATCAAATAACAGAAATACAAAAAATCAACGATCACTTTAGTATTTTGCTTTATAAACAAAAATTCCTTTTATTATGTTTTAAATTTACTTCTAACTTTTTTCTTTTCTAATCTCTTATTATTTTTTAATTTTAATCTACCACATATTTATTCTCTAATTTTTTGATTTTGTGTATAAAGAAATTCACTGATCGGTTTTAATTGATCCTCGAGTCACTCAGTCCCCCACCTTCCATAGCGTAACGCTTCTATTGTCATTTTTAAATTACTTTTCTATTCCTACAACATGTATCCCCCCTCCCCCCTTTTTTTGGAAGCTAAAACAATAATAAGCGAGGAAATAAAGAATTTTATAGCATATTTTCAAGAAAGTCTATCTAGACAGAAAATGGAAACAAAAAATATTTTCCATAGTACATATAATGAATTTAACGAATTAAACTTGAAGCCAGTAAAAACTACAGGTGCCTTTAACAAGAATTTTGGGAAAAAATAACCAAAATCGCTTGTAAATTACTTAAAAATCGGTATCTCGATTAATTTGAAATTTTTATAGGATATTTGAAACATCAAGGGGGGAGGGCATAATATCCAGAAAATTATAGAAAATATCAGACCTGCTCATGGATACGGATATGGATGCAGATAATATCAAAATGCCTGCGAATACCCGCCTGTATCCGCTGTAAATATCCGGATAAGGATACCAAAATCAGTATCCATGTCAAATGTGTGTTAAGAAATTATAAATAACTCCCCTTGAAATTTTTTAAAATTTACATGTTAAAAAGGCTATTATTTCATAGATTATTTTAATTAAAGATGCGTTTGAACACAAAAAATATTTTTATTATTTCTTTATCTATTTTAAACGTAATTCTTTTCTTCATAAATTTTTGGTATTATCACAGAACTAATTTAGGAAAATATTCAAAAATTAATTATGCTACAGGGTAGTTTTTGGAAAATATTTTCCTTGGAAATATTTTAAATTTAGAATCAAGCCATTAATTGTTGATTTTGACTGTTTAGAAAATCAAAATAAGGGTAAAGACTGTACATATCCAATAGCTGTAGCTATACCTGATGGATATCCACAAATGTCAAATGAATTTATTGAAATTAAATTTACTTTGGATATTTCTGAAAATAATGGAGATTTTTGGCTTTTTAAAAATGTTGACGCTTCAACTGATTTAATTGCAACTAGAAGGTAGTGTTTAAATTATATCTTTGGAAACAAATTATCAGATCAGGCTAACTTAAGGAACAGACAGAGAACGATAACTCTGGGTCGGACAAGCTAAGGTTTTACCAAATCATGCAACTCTAAACACGGAATTCTGACAGACGGTCATTTCTGAAGATTTCTTTCTAAGCTTAACATCACCACTAACTTTTCTTTGGGAAAGCGATTGGGAATGAGGCATGCTCTATTGGAATACGCAAAGTTAGATGAGAGTTGCCGGCAGGCCAATCCGCCGATCGTATAGGTGATTGCAAGATGCGCGGCTTCCTACTTATAACTTCAACGCCGCAATGAGGCACTAGGAAACAGACCAATCGTTTTACTATATCAAAAAACGATAATCCAAAAATGATAAAAGATTGCAAGGAATTTGGAGGGGTACCGTGAATCCTAGAAATGAGTTGACTTGGCCTCCCCTAAATACAATCTAAACTGATTTTCATTATCAGCCAGGTTAACAAACTCGAAAACTTCAATAATTTCCCATTCTAGAAATCAGAGCTGGGTATGAATTCTTATTTCCGTCTTTCGATTTGCGACGTTTTTTTCTTCCGATTTTCGATTTCCGACACCTTGACTGTTCCAACTCACCTCTGCTAGAAATGAGTTGGGGAATTGATACATACATATCGTAATAAATATTTGATTTTTGCATGCATACTTAATTATAAAATTTAAGATAACTTTTCTTAAAGGTTCAATCGTTCACAATCAAATATAGAAAATGTTGAAATGCCTGCTGATTGGAAAGCTTTTAAAAGGGACTGGAAAAACGGAAAGTATTTAGAATGTACACCTTTACTTGAAAGACCCAAAAATACGAGTAGAAAAATTCCTATAAAATTTTTGGACAGACTTGTTGAATTCTCTAATTTATTAGACAAACATAATGCAACAGCCTTTCTTATGGGGGGAACTTTGCTTGGTAATAATTTATCTGTTAATTCAAATTTAAAATCGCACTTTTCGGTTTTGAGCTTTAGTTAAATATCCGTTTTATTTTGGGGAGGGGGTTTTAAAAATGCGAGAGGTTAATTTTTGGCAATTAATATCACTTTTTTACGTTCTAAACCGCTCACCAACAACCAAATGATCATTTCTCGAGATAATACTTTCAATTTCCAACTTCTGTAAAATATTTACATATTTATTAATTAAATTAAAGGTTGGGCAAGAGAATGTTCCTTAATTCCGCACACTACTGATACAGATTTTGGAATGTTCAGTGATGAACACTCTGAGTTTATACATATTTTTTTACAAAATTCTTGGGATATTTAAATTTTTGTCTAATTTTATTTCGAGAAAATATTTGTAAATATTTCCCAAAACGGAGTATTTTTAAATTAAAAATACTCCTATTTTTTAGAGCTCTTCTACGTGAAATACTCACCTCAAAAATCTTTGAAATTTTTTTGGTTTTGGGTCGATTAAAAAATTCCTTCGAATTATGTGTTTTTGTGGATGGAATAAGAATTGATCTTTTTTACGTCTATAAAACAGAAAATTCAACAGAAAACTCGTCACTTAGTGGAATGCGTACGGAGTCAAAACTAAAACAGCGTATTCGCTGGGTTTATCCGAAATTGTCTGGGGAAATTTGTGCCGTAGAAATGCATGGAAGACTTTTACATGTTTTGTGTGATTATTATAAAATTGTTGAGGTTGATAAACAATTAATTACAAATTATTCTCAAATTCCATTCCAAAATATTGGTATATCAACCAAGGATTTGTTAAGCTACACAAACCCATTTAAATTCGAACCACGGCCGAAGAAGATTTTAAAACTAGATTTTTTTCACAACCCAGTACATCCCTAATACCAACTTTGGATATCATATAATTAACTTCTATTTAACTACCTATGTATATTGAATTACCCATCTTTATGCCTAATTTCTCTGGAGGAATTAACGTGTCCGGACAAAATATCGAATCGTTAAAATATGGAATAGGCTAAAAAAGGGTTAAAATCTCGAATCGGGTAAAAATGGGTTAAAATCGCGAATAGGCGAAAAAGGGGTTAAAATACCGAATCGTTAAAATATGGAATGGTTAAAATATCGAAACGGGTAAAAAAGGATTAAAATATCGAATCGTCAAAATATCGAATTGATAAAATATCGACACGGCCAAAATAGGTCAAAATGTCGAATTATTTTAAAAATTGTGCTAAAAACTAGAACCCGGACGGTACCGTAATACCGACGGTATTTTTCGGTATTTATTAGTATTCCGTATCGGTAGTACGGGCGGAATACTGACCGATAAAATTTAAAAGGTGAACCGTATTTTTCGGTATTCCGTACCGTGGTACGGTACAGGTACAAAATTCCGGTCTTTACTAAATACTAGGCACGCACTCTAATTTTTCCGGATCAAGAAATCGCGTTGCTTCCGGATCCGCACGATTATGCCGGACCGGATCCGGTCGGTTTTCTTGATTTATCCGGTCCGGTTTTACTCGGTAAAATACACTGAACTCAGGCAGAAAAGATTACGCCGGACTACGACTTACCAAACTTATCAACCAACTTATCAGCAGTAAGTTGATACGTTGATAAAATTATCAACAATCAACGTATGGCACTCATCTGACCCTTTTTTAAAGGAATTCGACATTTTGACCCATTTTGGCCGTGTCGACATTTTATCAATTCGGTATTTTGACGATTCGATATTTTAACCCTTTTTTACCCGATTCGATATTTTAACCATTCCATATTTTAACGATTCGGTATTTTAACCCCTTTTTCGCCTATTCGCGATTTTAACCATTCCATATTTTAACGATTCGGTATTTTGTACCGGAGCCGGAATTAAACAAAAATATGTATATAACCTTGCCACCGATATTTACTGTATCCCATAATTTCGGAATACCTTAAATATACCTTAATACGGATTACCGGCCGAAAAGATTTTGATGAATAAGATTTTGAAATACGTCAATCTCTGTCTCAAGTAATAACTACCTTCCGGTTATACAGGGAAAAATCTTTATTGTTCTTACAATAATATAATATTTTTATTTTTAAAGTCTGAATATGGCAAAGAAGGATGGAAAAAAGATCATCCTACAGACAATTTTGTTTGGGATAAAAGTCATAAAAACGTAGAATCTATGGAAAAATATCCAGAAAATGAATGGTCAAATGTTTATCTTTCTGTTGAAGATAAAAATGATCGGTTTGATTCTAAGAAAGTTGATGGATGGATTAAAAATATAAACAAAACTTTATAAAAAATTTTCTCTATTTTCACAAAATATTAGTGCGCATGAGTCTTTATTTTTGTTCCTCGTTTTGCTTATCGATAACAAAACAAACTGAAAAATTAATTACATTAAATCAAAATTTTTAAATTTTTTTGAAATAAATTTTAGAACACTTTATATTAAAAACAAAAAAAACTGGTTATTTGTTTATTAAATTTCATTAGATTAACAAAATTTATTAGTAAATAATTAATAAATAAAATTAATATCTTCACTTTAAATTTTTTTAATTAAATTGAATACTCTTTAATTTTTCAATTGTGAAATAAAATAATAAAAAATTTATTTCTAGGAATACATATTTCAATGTTCTTACAAATATTTTTATTATTTATTTTTGTTAATCCAAGCATCCTTGCCTCGCCTACGGTTGAACAATGTGACGTTGTAATGAAATCAGAGAATAGATATATACCTGCAGAATGCAAGTAAATGTTTTTTATAAGTAGGGAAATCCCAGGATGGCCTGAACCAATATTAGAACTGAAAGTTTCCAGATATCCGGATGTTCGGGCACGGATCTGTCAACCCCACTATCAATCTGGCACATTTTTCATTTATTAAAATTATATTAATGCCCCAAATTTCTTTACCAAACTGAGTTGATATGAAAATATACCTAAATTATCAAAAAACTTTTGTTTTATAAAATTTCGAAAATCGCTCATCGTAGGAAAAAAAAGCTATCGAAGGATATTTTCATCGAAGGATATTTTTAAATATTGCTAACAAATTATAGAGCTTTTCAAAAAATTTTTTAAAAATTATTTCAAAATTTTATTTATCAATTTAAGATGTTATCAAGATTTCGCTTCATGTCTCTTCTCAAATATAATTTATGGAAAATGTACAAAAGAAACGATGGCTTCAAAAAATTATTTTGATAGACCATGTAAAGATATTTATTCCCAATGTTCTTTGAAGAAAAATGAATGTGAAATTAATGTTTGTGGATGTTTCAAGTATTTAATTTTTGATTTTATATTTAAAAAAAAATTTAGGACGATGGTTGATTGTATATTACAAAATAAATGTAAACCGGTTACTAATAGTGCAAAATTGGCTGATTTACCTACAACTAATAAACGTAAATTAATTTTTAAAAAAGGGATTCTAAAATTATTATTTTTTTAGATATTCGAGCATCCAATGCTGTAGGCTTCAACGAATTTTTTGGAAAATTTCTTGCAGATGAAAGTGCAACTGATTTAAGAAATGAGTAATGAAGATAAAAAATTTTTAAAATTCAAAAAAAATCAAAAAATAAATAAATTTTTTTAATTAATTAAAAATTCAAGGAATTATCACTTAGGTTGCAAAATAAATAATGAACTTCTTGATTTAATTATTAAAATTGACAAAGTTCCGAATGAATTCAAATCATATCGTTTTATGATCCTAAAATTATATTCTGTAATTTTCCGTTATACGAAAGCAAACTGAGTGTCGACCTCTCCTTAAAAAGTTATAATCCGACAAGTTATAACTGATAAGTTATTTGGTGTTGGTTATTTATCGGGTTATAACTAGAGCGCGGAATTTCGTTCCGTACCGTATTCCGTACCGTACTACCGATACGGAATACCTATAAATACCGATAAAATACGGCCGTAGTACGGAATACGGCCCGTATTACGGCAAGAATTTTACCGTACCGTATTCCGTACCGTACTACCGATACGAATACCGATAAATACCGAAAAATACGGCCGTAGTACGGTACGGTCCGCGCTCTAGTTATATCTTCTTACGGAGAGGTTGAGAGGACCTGATCTATCCTATTAAAAAGATACATCTTTTCAGTGGCTTTAGTATGATATAAAATTCATATGCATTTGATTATGCAAAAAAAGGTTATAGTCGATCAAAGCCGGATACTCAGTTGATAATCTAGAAACAAGTCCGACATTCTTTAATTTTATACGCCTTTTAAAATTTACGCTAAACAAGTCACCAGTCAAAGAACATCGATATTGAAGAATCTTATCATCCAATACCGTTAAATTTTAATAAGTTCAGTATTGTTTATTATTTTGTTAATTTCTTCTTTTAGTATATAGGAGTTATTAAAAAATTCTTTGGCAGATAATAATGAAGCTAAATCACGTTAAAAGATTATGTTCCAAATTAAAATATTTTTAAGTAAACGAAAAGAAAAATTTTCTTCGATTTTGTCAATATATTAACAACTTTTTAAAGGGTAATGGAGAATAGTAAAGAATGCAGAAGGAACTAACAACAACAAAATTCAAAAAAAATTAAAGTAGATCAAAATATTTATTTATAAATTACAAAATAAATTTAAAAAATTTTCTTTTACTTTAAAGACCAAAAAGTCAATCAAGTACCGGAAGTCGAAGGACCGGCAAAGTCTTCTTCTGATTGCACATTCTTCTTCTTAATTCCTCCCTATTTCATCTTGAAAGCTTCAGTCTCTGGATCAAATCCTTTTGAGATTAAACATTTCGCCAACCCGCTCTTCGTTTTTAAACGTTGCTTTCTATCGAGTATTCCTCTACGATGAACCGGCTAAGCAATAGGTCTAAGTTCTTCACTTTACTCCAGTCACGTTCAGACGTTCACATAATTCCCTAAAATTTGTGGTAAATAAAAAAGAAATTGTTGTTACTACGCTCATTTTCCAATTTTAAAATCTTGTCTTTTATCACCTTGTCAGTCTGTAAAAATGTATAAATTAAAAATAATCTATAACTACAGAATACAAAAGTTTAATTTAAAAAATTATAAATAAGAGAAGATCCTTGTCAGATCTGCTCAAAATTTCTTTCCCACCTCCTTCTCTTTTATAAAATGTTCAATGCGGCAAAGGCAATAATTTTAAGATTAAATTAATTTAAAAGAGAGAAAAAACACAAAAAGTTGAGATCATGAATTTTCCCTAAGACAAGGACCGAAAACCATTATGTGAACGGATAACTGAAGATAACTGAAGCATAACCTGGTAATCAACAACAACATCATTCTCTAATTTATAATCTTTTCCACTTCTGATACATTTCTTAATAGGACAAATGTGATATTGGCAATTTGACGACTTGAATAAAACTTTTTAATTAAAATGCTTTAATTAATTTACTTTATCCTTCCTAATTGTCTGAATACAAACAAAACATCCTTCTACGGTAAGTCGAAAACATTAAAAATAAAATTTCGCTGAATTGTGAAGTGAATCAATTTTCAACGTTACTTGCTCTAAATTTATAATTGAATAAAGATCTGATTAGAACTAAATTTTCTAGTTGAATTATAACTTTGCTCGGAGAAATTGGAATTTTATTGCGCCGTTTAAGATTTTCTTTAATTTGTAATAGTTCTGCCTCCTTTTGTTTAATAAATTCAATTGTCAATTGTTGGAAGTTTACCATCCCAGAAATTTTGGCGATTCTGGTATATGCGTCCAATGAACCTTTACGAGTCCGATGAAAAGTTTCTTTTTATTGATAAATACCGACATCCCTCCAAGTATCCTGATATCCCTTAATCCAACGATATCCTCTTTTAATCCGTGCAAATCAAACTATATCCCCATTAATCTCGCCAAATATTTCATTATTACACTTAATCCCTTATTAAACGTGTAAAGTAGATATTCAGGGTTTACCCCTTTAAAATTGGATCATAAAATTTTGATTTGACTCAAACTTATCATTGGACGCGTAAAAGTTCATTGATCGCATAAATGTGACGAAATTTTTTTTATAATAAAAAAATTTCTTTACTTTAGCTTGAACATAACATATCCATTTGCGTATATCACTATCATTGAGCTTATTGTCGTTAATATTTACAATTTCAAAATCACCAAAGTTGACAAGTCGAAAGCGCCGATTAAACCAGAAACGTTGAAAACTCATTGGCTCAAAAACATTTCAATTTGATCAGACTAAATAGAAAATGTTCAAATTTATTAAAATTTCTTACAAAAAGTGATTATTTGAACTGTTCTGCAATCCGTGGTACATGCACACGAACAAGACATCCAATTATATCCTTGTGCAGAGTCGACCGATGCCTCACCAAGAAGATTTAAACAAGTTTTGGTCAAAATATTTTCTTCAATTCATCCGTTATGTTAAGTCTATCAGTACACAAGGCAATTGTTTCTGATACTGTTTCCAAAGGGTGGATACCATTATCAATAGATAATGGTAACCGGTTAGATGACCGCAACCGGTTAAATAAACCGGTACGGTAACCGGTTATATGACCACAAACCACGTTCTTATAGTACGGGCCCAGGAATAGTAAGCATTGTTAAGACAACATTGTTTTAAGAGTAATTTTCACGTGGAATAAATTGGGCTTTAACTTAATTTCAAAATTTTAATTTTTTGGTTAATTCAAATTTAGGGCAATTCTTTAACTGAGTTTTTGTTTATTGCACACAAAAACATATGAAATAAATCGATGAAACTGCTTTAGTTTAAGAAATGTTTTTAGTTTGTATACTAAATTTTCCTAGTTAATATAGTGAAAATACTGTAGAGTATCTTATTAATATGATTGAACAAACATGAAATTTATGCAGATATGAGAAGCTTGGATATAGAAAATCGAAAAAAAATTTAGTAACTCAGAAATTAAACTTGAAAATCCACAATTTGAAGACATTAGAATTTATTAAAAAAGAAATAATAAAAAATATGCTTGGACAATCACAATAACTTCATTTTCATTTATTTAATTCATAGTTTTAAATTATTATCTGATCAGGTCAGGATGATAATTTGATAGTTAAAAGCTTAGGCCCTGTTTTAAAAGTTCACGAAACATTTATCAAATCGTTAAATAATAATAATAATTAATTCAAGGATTTTCTCCATAATCTTAATTCATGAAATTTTTAAATTCAATATTTATGTATTTGTTTATAATTTTTTAAAATTTAAAAATTAAAAAATAAACAGGTTTTAATTTCCAAATAAATAGTGCACTATTAATTAATTTAAATTATCTTTTATTTTTATTATTTTTTAGACAGACAATTTTTTGTTTAAATACAAACTTTGTTTAACAATAAGATTTAAAAAATTTAATAATATATAAGTATAGGTAATTTACGTAATTAATTCATTAAGTCTGCAATTTTTGTAATTTATATTCATTCAAACTTTATTTTAGTTGCCCCCTTCATAATGTGATATCTTACATAAAATAAAAATGAGGTATATGTATCTCTTAGGCATTTCAAACGCTAATGGAACAAATAAGTTTTAGAGAATGTATTTTAATCTGATGTGTTATAATTCTGTGGATGCAAAGGAGGGCCGGAATTCCGATTTCCGACGGTTTTTTCCTTCCGAGTTCCGAAAAAAATGTTTATTTCCGAGTTCCGACTTTTGAGCCTACCCGCCTCTGGATGTATCTACGAATGAGATTCTACTCTACATAAATATTAATTCTTCTAAAATTTTCATTTTAGAAAAACAATGTTTATTTTAATAATATTTCTTTTTACTTGTCTTATATCATTTTGTGATTCATCAACTGTAGATGTGGTGAAATGTAAACAAGTATTTGGATCAGAAGAAAAATACAAATATGGCTGCGAGTAAATTACTAAATATACATACATTGAATATATTAAATGATATTTATTTTAAAAAAGGTGTTTTAAAGACCTCAGAGCTTGCAAAAATTCTCTAATAGCTTCACAAAGATGCCCTAAGGATGCAACGCCTGATAATGTATTTAAAAATAAAACAGATTGTGAAATGATGTATTCTGAATGTTCTACGGCCGAAGAAAATAGTTGTAAAGCTGGAATGTGTGAATGCTTTGAGTAAAAAAATTTTTTAAAGGAGAGGTCCAAATCCCCTCCAAAAGTATAACCTGCTCTTCAAATACCCTTGTAATCCTTTTTTAGGTTGCTCTACCAGTGAAAAGAAGAGCAGCTTAAATTTCTAATATTAGGCACTCGATTTTATATACTTTTCCATCCCTCCAGTGTTGAAAAATAATTTTCATCCCATCATCCATATTAAATTAGATCCGACTTTACAATACATACTTTAAGAAATTTGAGTTGGTCTAGTCTGAGATTTTTTAAAAAATTCCTGGACCTGGTATAAATTTTGGGGAAAGTTGGGAAATAAAACACAAGAAAATTCTTTAATTAATAAAATTAAGAACAATGATCGACTGTTTCTCTCAACACAAATGTCTATCAAATCTTTCAGTAACAAATAAAAGTAAGAAATTAAATTTTCTTTTTAAAAACAAAAAATTTTTAAGAAGCTCGTTCAATTGGAGTTATTGCTGGTTTTATTGGAGTTATTGAAGAAAATTTTAATGAAAATCCTACTGAATTGAAAAAAGACGATTAGATTTTCACTGCCCATGATTTTTAGTGAATAACTAACAAGATAGGAAATTAAGAAAATCCTTATTTAGATTTTATTGTGCATTTTATAATGTTATTTGTAGTTTAGCCTTATTTCAGAATTAATTAATGTTCTTATTTTTTCTTTATTTGTTTTCTTCCTGTAATTGATAAAAAATAGTTTTTCTATTTTTATAAAAAAATTTAAAAATTTTAAATTTGTTTATATATGTATAACAAATGTTGTACTTTTAAGTCTACTTTATTTAATTTTTTAGACAGCCAAAAAATTTTTTTGTTTAATACCGATAAAGTATATAATGTTTAATTATTTTAAATTTTAAAGGCCCAAAATTTTTTTCGAAGGCCCAAAATTTTAAAATTTAGAAAATAAAAAAAAATAAACAGGTTTTAATTTCCACATAAAAATTTGGTACTTTTATTTAATTAATTTTAATCACTTAATTTTATTATGTCTCCCTTTTTAGACTGATATATTTAAATATACATAAAACCTTTTTTTTGTTTACTCGTCAAAAATTTAAAAAAATTTTTATTTAATCATTAAATTTAAATAATTTAATTATTTGATCAAAAATATATTTAATAATACCATCAATTTAAGTTATCAGAACTTGAACCACATTTTAAATTCACCTTCGGGGGTCTAAAATATTTTTCTCATAAGGAGGGATTTATAAGCACGAGTTCGGTCCTCGGCGATGTTCTTGGTGAGGACTCGGTTTCGAGGTCAGTAAAATTGGGGTCGATGATAAAAATCGACGAGGATCTCGACCTCAGCGAAGCCTCGACCTCGTGCAGTTCAACACAAGCATAAAGCTTAAGAGAATATATTTCAAATTGATGTGATATAACTCTGTGGTTAACTAGAAATGATGTTCGACTGTTCATAATTATTAATTTTACTAAATTCATTTAAAAATTTTATTTTCTAGAAAAACTACAATGTTATTGCCAACAATATTTTTGTTTACCTATTTTATATCATTTTGTCATTCATCAACTGTAGAGGATTGTAACCGATTATACTCATTTAAGGGAAAATACAATCCTAAAGACTGCGAGTAAATCAAATATATTTAATACATATACTAAAAATATTTTTTCAACTAGAAAGTGTCTTATAGACGCCGTACCTTGTAAAAATTCTCTAGTATATTCACAAACATGTACTGATAATCCAAAAGAATTTAAAAGCATAGCAAATTGTGAAGGAGTATATTCTGAATGTTCTACTGCCGAAGAAAATAGTTGTAAATCAAAACTGTGTGATTGTTTAAAGTAAAAAAAATTTTTTAAAGGAGAGGCTAAATTCCCGCCAAACTTCTTAATCTCTAAAAATAAAAAAGATAATTAATGAGCACAGTCTCAACTCGATTTTACGTACACCCAAACTTATGTAAGGTTTTTAAATTTGCTGCAAATAGTGAATGAGATAGCTGCCTATATATCAGGGTTGAAGCTCGTGGCACAAAATACGAGATCTCTCAAAAGAGATCGAGACACGAGATACGAGATATTAAATATTTATTGTTTTTCAAGCTTATTCATACATAAAATTGTAAAGCCAAAAATAAACATAAGGGTTTGAATGGGTTATGATTACAGGTGGATTATGAAGGGTAATGGGGATTTAGAGGATAAAGGGGATTTATTAAGATATCGGGGATTATGGAGAATATCATGGGATTTGGAAGGAAGATAAAAAGCACGAGATTTCACGAGATACGAGATACGAGACGAGCTCCACCCCTGCTATATATCCAATAATGTATAATTCACATACAATTTTTAAATAAAACTTCTCAGGCTTTCGCTCACCGCTTATAGGTGACTAATGCTTTCTCTTTTCTCCATGTGTATGTTCATAAACCTCCATCTAAGTTTTTTACATACTACTAGGTACTTAGATTGAGCTAAGTAGGACACGTAAGAATCGTAGAGAAATCACTACTTGAATATGATTAAATTAAGAGCAATGATTGACTGTCTGGTTCAATGTGTACCGAAGAATACTTCAGTAACAAATAAAAGTAAGAAATAAGTTACAGATTTTATTAAAAAACAAAAAAAATTTAAGAAGCTCGCTCACTTGGAGTTATTGCTGATTTTAGTAAACTTATTGAAGAAAATTTTGGTGATAAGATTACTGAATTGAAAAAAGAAGATTAGGCATGACACAAATCAAGTAGAATAAAAAGACAGAAAAATCTTCAAAAATAGAAAAAAAAAACGATGGGAAATTTTTATTTAGAATTTATTAATCATCCAGAGTGACAGGAAATGTTTAGGGCACATTATTTATAGCCTAACTTTATCCAAATTAAAGATAATTATATCAAATAAAGCTTCTTTCGAATTGATTCTTTGGCCAAACCAATTTGAGTGACGCTTTTTGCCATCGAAACCCGTTTTTGGGGTTTTTGCCATCAAAGCTCGTGGATTGGGGTATGCTCGGAATTTGGCCATGTTCACGTTCTCTGATTTGTTTATTGCTCGAGTTCATACAAATTTATAAAGTCAATAGTCCTGCCTACCACATTAAATACTTTTAAGAAAAATATTTCGATGAAAATTTCATACCGGATTTTTTAAAAGTTTTCTGGAGAGTGCTTTTTGAACATTGGGAGGACCAAAAATCTATTTGTTTAATATTAATATTTAATGTTTAAAAATTTTTGTTTAAAAAATTTTTTGAAGTTAAATAATTAAGATTGCCGTTTTTTGTCCATAGTTTTTATCGAGTCGTTTTGAGATATTCGAACTTGGGATTTTTCAAGCAAACCATTTTTTAGTGTGTTTTTCCCAGTCAAAACATACAACTTCCGTTAATTTATTATTATAATTAGAATTTTATATTTTGGAAATATTTTGAAAACTAAAATAGCCGAGTTTAATAAAAGTTACATTTAATAAATTGTGAAAAAAATAAACGGGTTTTAATTTCCAAATAAAAATTGCACTTATATAATAATAAATTTAAATTAAATTTATTAAATTTTTATTATTGTTTTAGTCTGACAATTTTTTGTTTAAATATAAAAATTTTTATCGCTTACTTGACAAAAAAATATAAAAATAATTATAATTATTAAATTTTACAATTTTAAATATTTAATCAAAATAAATTTTAATAAAATGCTAACAATGTAAGTAATTTATATTAGGGTTGTACCCCGAACGCTCGGGGGCGGGTATGTCGGGGTACGGGGTTTTCCAATTGTTTCGGGGCGGGGTTCGGGTCGGGGGAGTAAGATATGGCCGGGGTTCGGGTCGGGGTACGGGGGTTTAGTGGAAAAATTTTTAGAGAAAAAAATGCTCAAAAATAATTAGAAATCGATATATTTTCGTTGATTTATTCAAAAATTAAGTTGGATTTGAAGAAATTAGAGGGGATTTGAAGGGATTAAAGTGTATAACTTGGGATATAAGTGGATCTGGAGGGATTAAGTGGGATTTTTAGGGATTAAATGGTATATCTAGGGATACAAGGTGATCTGGAGTGATTTTTGTGGTTCAAGGGATATTAGTGATTTATAATGATATTGATGTAATACGAATAAGAGTATTTGGACGGATGTCAGGAGATATCTTCGATTAATCCACTAGTCTCCCACGAAATCCTTGTTAATTCCGTTAAATTCACGTAATCCTTTCAAATCCATTTTAATCTAAACCTTATATCCCTTTAAATCCTTTTAAATCCCTTTATAACTCCTTAATTCTTCGATATCCTACAAATCCCTTTATATCTCTGATTCCCGTTAACAGGACCTCGATAGTTTTCCAATGTTATGGTTGAGAACAGGTGATACAGGAGGTTTGAAGGATTAAGGGTGGTTCAAGGGATATCAGTTAAAAATAAAATTAATATTTTGAAATTACAATTTAACACGTTAATAATTTGTTTTTGTAAAGAATATAAAAACAAAAGCATTCTCCTTATATGGATCCGAACCAAACCCTCTATTAATGAAATATCGGCTAAAACAACGACTAAGCCACTCAACCACAAGTCTCTTAATAAAGAAGGAAAGAAAATTATGATATTTCATTCATTTTTCTTTCAAAAATAATAAAAGCAAAGTAAAATGGGTGGAAATTTTTTAAATTTTCTTCATTAATTTCTCCAAAAATGACATTTTTAGGGGTATAAAACCCCGATAACCCCGAAACATTTTGGGCCGGGGAACGGGGTTTTCACTTTTTTTCGGGGCGGGGTTCGGGTCGGGGAGAATCGTGAAAAAATCGTTCGGGAACGGGGTCGGGGTTCGGGGTACGGGGTCGGGGTACAACACTAATTTATATACATTCGAAGTTTTGGATATCCCCTTTGGGGTATCTAAAAATTTTACAATGCGTATTATGTTGAACAAGAGGTATCTGTCAGGAAGTTCAAGAAGCCTGTGTCTAAAATATTCTAAATTTATTTGATATAATTCTGGATATCTAAAAATGAGATACCGTATTTACTCAATTAATTCCCCTCCCTCGAATAATTCCCCTCTCTCGAATACTTCCCCTGCTATGGATGAGTTGAAATAATAATCCCCTCCTCCAAATACCCTACACGTTCAAATATCAAAATTCGAATACCTAATTCTCCATGTCACGGATGGGTTGAAAAAATAATTCGCCAGGGGAATTAATCGAGTAAATACGGTATGTACACCCGCTAATTATTAAGGTTCCGTGACTTTTGCGCCGAGAACATTTGCGCCGCGACTTATGCGCCGCGACTTTTGCGCCGCGACTTATGCGCCGAGCGACTTTTGCGCCGGGGGACTTTTGCGCCGCGACTTTTGCGCCGGGCGACGTTTGCGCCGCGACTTTTGCGCCGGACGACTTTTGCGCCGCCACTATCATCAATAATTATGAAAAACTACAACAGGACCTCACTATAGAAGACTTAGGATAGTTGGAGATCTTCGGATATCAAGATCCGGATCCGATATCCGACCTAAAATTTACAGCTATCCGGCCTTTTTCAGATCCGAATATCTGGACCCGACAACCCTACACTATAGTGCACCTCTTCTGGCAGAAAATTATGCCTGAATAGGGGTAGCAGACCAAATATCCTGATTTGAAAATGTAAGTTCTTTGATGACCCGGGTCGGTTTATTTTTCAACCTTCCTCTAGGGGGTCGGTTTATTAGAGGGGGTTATTGTACTTCCCGAAATATTGTACTTCCTGAAATTCCTTCAGCTCTTGGATACATTTTTGAGTACACTGGTCCGACTGTAGATATTATTTTTTTAAAATTATGGCGGCGCAAATGTCGCGGCGCATAAGTCGCCCGGCGCATATGTCGCGGCGCATAAGTCGCCCGGCGCATATGTCGCGGCGCATAAGTCGCGGCGCAAATGTTCTCGGCGCAAAAGTCGTGATACCATTATTAATATTACTTACTAAAATTTAATTCAAAATTTTTATTTTTTAGAAGAACAATGTTATTGTTAACAATATTTTTGTTCATTCATTTCATATCATTTTGTGATTCATCATTTTTAGAGGAATGTAGCCAAGTATACGAATCATACAATAAATGCAATTTAAATGAATGCAAGTAAATAATTTAATGTACAAGATATATTAAAGAATATTTTCTTTAAAAAAGGTGTATCCAAGACGTGATAACTTGTACTGATTCCCTGATAGCTCTACAAACATGTAGAGATGATGTAAAAGTATTTAAAAGTTTAGAGTGTGAAATAGTTAATTCTCAATGTTCTAATGCTGATAAGAATTGCTGTCTAGATGGAGTGTGTGGATGCTATAAGTAAGAAAATTTTTACATTTTCTTATCATTCTCAAGTTTTTTAAACAAAAATCTCAAACATTTTACATACATCCAAAATTATATACCCCTCTTTATTACATTATAATAAAAGTGCTGCTCAAATCTCCAATTGAGACACACCCGATTTTATATCAACTATTTGGATCCATCCGATTATCTCCCCACCCCCACCCCCCCCCCCCATTCTTCTTTGCTATTCCTTCCTTTCTCCTTTAAAAAATGGTAAGAATTAAATATGGTAAAGATAATCGGTGGGATAAGTAGGGTTGAGCGGGATCGGGATCACGGTCGGGATCGGGCGGGATTATCCCGGTTTTTTTGAATCCGATCCCGATTTTTCTGATCCCGAGCCCGAAATATATATCCCGATCCCAATTTCGGCCAATCCCGATCCCAAACCGGGATTAGCAATCAGATCCCGATGCAAATCCCGATTTTATAAATATGCGAGAATATTAGTGGAACGATATATTTCGGTGAAAGAAAGGAAGGTGTGAGAAGAAAAGAAAGAGAGTTTTCTTCGCCTGCGGCGCAGAAAAGGAAGATTTTTGGCTTAAGAATCTTCCAAAATTTTCAAAATTTTTGCCTGCGGCGATGAAGAAGAATTAGTCTGGCATAAGGAAATATATGAATTGACTTTTTTCTAAGAAATGAAAGAAATCTGTCTCTTGACCTTCCAGAATTCTAAAAAATTTTCGTTTGCTTCGTTGAAAATATAAGAAATTTGGCTTCATGACCTTCCAAAATTTTAAAATTTTCGCCTGCGGCGCTGAAAAATGAATATTTTTGCCTTAAGGATCTTCTAAAATTCTACGTAACCTTTTCGAAGATAACCCTAAGCCGACTAAATATATCTCAATTAATATCCTAAAATAAACTCGAACTTGGGTTTTCAAGCTCGACGTACTCTAATGAAAATAACAAAATTTAAGCGTGGTATCATTCCTAATTCGTCAAGACAAAATTTCGACACTCCTCATTCCTAAAAATTTTCGGTTCGGTCCCGGACATACGAAAAGTTTTGGTTCGGTTTCGGATATCCGAAGAATTTCAGGAACCGACAACCCTAGTAAGGAATATCAAGTCACAAGAATATTCAGCATAGGAGGTGAAAATTTTGAAATTATATTGAGGAACTTAAAATTTATGATGGAAATAAAAATTCAAAATTTTAAAAAAATTTTTAATCACGATCCCGATTTTTCAATCCCGGTCCCGATTTTAGGTCGGAATCCCGATCCCGCTCAACTCTACTTAGGAGAATGGGGAAAAAGGAAGGAAAATGGGGAACTAAGCAGATAGTACCAACATTTTAGCCCAAACAATTAGGATATCGTTGAAATTACCGAAACTTAAATATACTAAAATTAAGAACAATGATTAACTGTATTTTTCAACATAAATGTACACCAATAAATACAGATAAAAGTGAGAAATTAAATTTTCTTTTTAAAAACAAAAAAAATTAAAGAATCTCGTTCATTTGGAGTTTTTGCTGCTTTTAGTGGGTTTATTGAAGTAAATTTTGGTGAAAATCCTACCGAATTGAAAGAAGATGATTAGGCATGAGACGAATCAAGTAGAATAAAGAAACTATGGAAAATTTTTGTTTAGCTGGAAAATCTTTATTTTAATTCAATTCAATTTATACGCAATAAAATACGTGACATTCAGATAAATTATTTAAAATATAAGTGAAATCGGCACCAAAAAATGAAGAAATTTGGCTACATGGCCTTTTAAAATTCTCAAAATTTTCGCCTGCGGCGCTGAAAAAAAACCTCGAATTAGCCCCAAATCAAATAGCCCCAAATCAAACCCCAAAATCAAATCATCAACAAATTTTCTGGTCTAGTTTATGCGTCCAATGGACTTTTATGCGTCCAATGAAACTTTATGAGTCCAATCAAAAAATAATTGGATTTTTCTTGGTATTGCAAGGTTGGGGTATGGTTCCAAAGCATTTCTTCATGTTCGGGACCTAAGCCTACTGGGTCTGGGACCATCACTTGCCCTATCCCTCGAAATTTCAGTAAGTTATAGCCAATTTTTAAAAATTTCGAAAAAACAATTATAACTACACAGCAGACTAGCAAGGGTAATATCGAACGAAATGTCATTTATTGGGGCAGAACGCCAACCAATTAAAAAGGCGCTAAATTTGTCTTTTTTTCTATAATTTTCTCTTATTTTCCTATACTCTTTTTATTTAATTTTTACAAATCCTAGGTTATTGGATTTGAAGACTTATATCTCGACTATAAAATGTGAGATTTAAAATCGCTCCCGCTATTCTTTGCAAAACTCTTTAATAAACATTTGGAAAAAAATTGAAAAATTTTACCCATTTTTAAAAAATTGAAAGGATTTTACTGATGGAAAAATCAACAATTGACAAAAGCAGTTCAGATTTATTTTTAATTAATGGCTCATTCGATTCGTCTCGACAAGCTGATTCGAATGACACCAAAATCAGCTCGATTCGAAGATTCTGAAAAAAGTTACAGGCAATTTGTGCTATATTGGGGTAAGTCGGAAACTAATCACGAAGATTTTGGTATCATTCGACTCACCTCGACGAACTCTTTCGAATGAGCTATAATTTGCATAATTTAATTTTTGACCCAAAATTTTTTGTTTCGGGGTCTGTAACTCGGCCCTATGAAGTCTGATCGCGTTGATTTTTGTGGGGTTCGACTCAGCTCGAGTAGCACCTTCGAATGAGCTATAATTTGCATTTTCGATTTTTTGACCCCAAAATCGGCTAGGGGCCCTCAATGTGGTTTTCAACTTCAGGAGTCTGTAACTCAGCCCGGAAAATCGGATCAACTTCTTCCACCCCTAGTTCGACTCAGTTTTCAGAGCTCTTTCGAATGACACCATTTGTCCAAATCAATCCAAATTTGAAAAATTACATTAAAAATAACAGCCGATTTTTTAAAATTTTTACCCGTTTTTATTTTTAAAAGTTTAAAAAAATTTTACACACTTAAAATATTATTTAAAATGTTTATTTCGTGTTTTGTTTAACTTATTTAATAAGAAAATATTAATTAACCATGAAAAGGTTCGAACCCGAGACCCCTTTTTAGACGATTTTGTAGTCAGCGCTCATCCACTTAGCCAACATTTAAATTCCGCTATTTCCCTCTTTTGCCTGCGCTAGTCTGCTGTGTAACTAGAGACCGGATTTTTATGAAATGCATATTTTTTGCAAACTTTTCATGATGTGTTATGCACAAAAAAACATTGTTTCCGCATGTTTTGAAAACTTTAGAGGGGGTTTCTATTTGCATATAATGCATATTTTTGCATATTCCGAACTTTGTTGCATAATGCATATTTTACTGCATATTTTGAGGTTTTTGGCGAAAATATTGCGAAAATTGCCCAAAATCCTACCAAAAAAGTGAAAATTTAGTAAAAATTTAGGAAAAACTTTGTAAAAATTACAAATTTTGTAAAAAAATTTTTTGTGTTTATTGGTTTCGCTAGAAAATGGCCCACACCCATAATGTCTCAGCCCCAAAACGTCGCACCCCAAAATGTTCCACCACCAAAATGCCACAACTCAAAATGCCCAACACTAAAAATATGTAAAAGTTTTTAGGTATAAATGGTATTTTTCATGAATATATGCGTGCATATTTAGGTTTACTTGCATATTTTTGTGCATATTTTGGCAATTTTTTATGCATATTATAGTCCATATTTTGCATTTTTTAGTGCATAAAAATCCGGTCTCTAATTATAACTTTCCGAAATTTCGAGGGATAGGGTAAGGAATGGTCCCAGACCTACTGGGCGTAGGTCCCGAACACGAAGAAATGTATTTAGAAACGAAACAAATTGTGAAATGATGTATTCTGAATGCTCTAACGCTGATAAGAATAGCTGTAAAGAGGGAATGTGTGAATGCCTCAAGTAAGAAAATTTTAAAGATCTGAGAGGGGTAGGGCTATATTTCCGCAGATTTTTCTTAACAAATTCCAAGCTTTAAAAAATTATTTGATTATTCCTCAATTAACTAATAAATGCCAGATCCGGAAATAATTAAAACACAAATCAATTTTTAAAAATTTCTTGCCCATAGGATGGACAAGAAATTCAAGCCTCAATTGTATATGTAAAAGTGAGGCCCGACTTAATATATGAAAAAATAAAAGATTGTTTAGTTTTGATTTCTATAGAATTTACTAACAAAATTCATGGTCTTGTATAGGTATTGGGAAAGTTAAGTCAAGAATACCCAGTAGAAACCACAACTTAAATATAATAAAATTAAGAACAATGATTGACTGTTTTTCTCAACGTAAATGTACATCAATGTCTACAGTATTAAAAAATAAAAGTAAGAATTTAAAATATTTCTTTAAGATATTCTTTTAAGAAGCTCGTTCAATTGGAGTTATTGCTGGGTTTAGAGGATTTATTGAAGGAAATTTTGGCGAAAATCCGATTGAATTGAAGAAAGAGGATTAGTCATGAGACAAATCAAGTAGAATAAAGAAACTATGGAGTTCTCTTTCAAAATGTTAATCTCCATAACTTTCATAATTATTTGATTTTTCGATTCTACTTCCGGCCTCTTTTAATTTCAAAAATATTATTTTTCAGAATTAGTAAGAATTTAAAATTAAACAACTTGTTTTATGTTACGCAACAATACATACTATGTAATGTACTTTTAATTAATTTCCTTTGTTTGATAAATAGAATTATTTTTTGTCAAATTATTTTTAATTGAAATTTTAAAATATTATAATAAACAAATTCATTAATTATTTAATTTGTTACAAAATGATAAATGAGAGAGATTATTGAGATTTTTTCCTTATCTTTGATACTTCTTGATAGAAATTTGTAATTCTTTGTCAAATCGTATGAAGTTTCTCTCCAATAACTTAAAATCGAATTAGTTTACTGTTTCAATTTTTTATTATTCTTAAATATTCAAATCCACTTTAAAAAATAATCAACCATTAATTATTACACAAAAAATTTTCCTAAAATCCAAGACTAAATTTTCTTATTAAATTCACTTTTTGAATAAATTCAAATTAAAAAGGAACCTAAAATTGACCCTGAAATTGAACCTACCCCGCAAACTCCTCTTAATCAATCTTCCGAAATTGAGCAAGAAACTAAGAAGCAACAAACAAACAAATAATTCTATTATAACAGCAACAGCCCCATTAACAAATAATGACAGCAAAGACTACAACTATGTCTGATCTAATTGCAAACGCCTGCATGTTTTGCCTACTAATGTTTTGCTTAATAATATGCTTAATAATACATTTGTTCATTTATCATTATTATATGAAGGATTATCCAACTTTGGAACAATGTAACCGAACATTTGAATTAGATGAAAATTTTGACTTTTATCAATGCAAGTAAATGATTGGCTATAGAATAAATTAAATTAATTAATTAATAAAAGGTGTTTTCGAGACCTCAGAATTTGTAAAATCTCGTTAGTAATTTTGCAAAAATGTAAGTCTACATCTCCTGCAAAGGTATTTAGAAACGAAACAAATTGTGGGATGATGTATTCTGAATGCTCTACTGCTGATAAATATAGTTGTAAAGCTGGAATGTGTGAATGCCTCAAGTAAAAATTTATAAGAAAAACTACTATAATATACCGTATTTATTCTAATTGAATGGCCCCTCCATTTGAATGGCCCCTCCAATTAAATGACAATTTTGCAATGATAAATATTGCAATGATTTTCCTTCTTTTCTTTTGAGAAGGAAAAAAGTGTCATTAAGGTCAGATACACTCTGTCAGAAAATGGTAAGCACCCCTTCTTTTATGTAGAAAACATGATTAAAGTTAAAATATCATAATTTTAAATATTTTTACGAATTTCTAATTCATATTCGAATGGAAAAAACAATCAGGTATACCGTATTTACTCAATTAATTACCCTCTCTCAAATAATTACCCCCTATTTTTCCAACTGATTTTAAAAATATTTATTAAAAATCAAATCAATTTTAATAATATAACATTTTACCGGACAATATCAAGGAATAAATTGGATTAAGAGGGAAATCAAGGGAATTAAGAGATTTTTAAGAGATAATAGGAGATTAAGAAGTTTTAGAGGTATAAGCCTTACTCCTTCTAAGCCTTGTTCCTTATATATCACCAAATCCTCTTAAATACCTTAAATCCTCGCTTGACTTTGTGTCTTTATATATCCAAAGACGGAAGTATTGCTGGTATAGTACTATTTTGAGGACATTTATATTAAAAGAATTAACATTATATCCTCTAAACAGAAATAACCTCTAACCAGGAATAACCGGGAATAAACTTCATATATCCCAGGACGGAAGTATTGATGTTATAATCCGTTTTGTGGAAAATATTAAGGGAATAATAAAGTTAAAACACAACTTTTCTCAGTATTGGGTAACGTATTGTATATTCCTGTTCATATGCCTATGATAAAATAAAAATATAAAGGTCGAAATAATAATTGCCCTCTCTCAAATAATTACCCCCTCCCTATTAATTACCCCCTCCAGCGAGAGATCGAAACAATAATTACTTAGGGTAATTATTTGAGTAAATACGGTAAATTATTTATGGGTAGTAGGGGATATAACTGGTATTTCCTAAAAAACGACTGTCAGATAATTATAAGCACCACTTAAGTTTCGGCATTAGGAACTGATCGAAAAATCTACAAAAATTCAGGCAAGCACATTTAGTAATGTAAATTGAAAATAGTGATGTCAAATTGAATCTAATAAGCGTTAAAATAAAATTAAGGACAATGGTTACCTGTTTTTCGCATCATACATGTAATCCAATATCTTCTAAAAGTGAGAAATTAAAAAATTTCTTCCTTTATAAAATAAAAATTTTTTAAAGAAGCTAGCTCAATTGCAGTTGTTGCTGTTTTTACTGAAATTATTCTAAGAGATCTAGGTGAATATTCTATGTGGAACTAAAGAAGAATGATTACTTCCGGCGTCTTTTAATTTCAAAAATATTATTCTTCAGAATTTAAAACTAAACAACTTGTTTTATGTTACGCAACAATTAATGTACTTTTAATTAATTTCCTTTGTATATTTAACTTTTAAATAATGAAAATTTTACCTGTTTGATAAATAGAATTATTTAATGTCTAATTGTTTTTAAATAATTTTTTTGAAAATTTAAAATATTATAGTAAACAAATTATATTAGGTTTGTTACAAGATGATAAATGATAGAGATTGATTCAGAATTTTTTGTCAAATCGATTGGAGTTCTTCTCCAATAACTTAAAATCGAATTAGTTTATTGTCTCACTTCTTTATTATTCTTTAATATTCAAATCCACTTTAAAGAATAATCAACCATAATTATTTTTCTAAAATCCGAGACTAAATTTTCTTAATAAATTCACTTTTTGAATAAATTCGAATTAAAATGGAACCAAAAATCGACCCTGAAATGGACCCTGAAATAGTAGTTGAAATAGAACCTGAAATCGACCCTGAAATTGTACGTGAAATTGTACTTGAAATGGAACGTGCATTGGACCACCCTGAAATCGTACTAGAAATAGTACGTGAAATGGAAGCTGAAATTGAATCTGCTCCCCAAAATCCCATTAATGAACCTCCTGAAATTGATCAGCAACAACAAACAAATAATTCTATTATACCAGCAACAACCCCATTAACAAATAATGACAGCAAAGTTGATTCAGCGGACCAAAAAAATTCTTCAGGAAGGTGTAAATAAGGCATAATTTCATATTGTTGTATAAATACGTTTAATTTATCACGTTAATTTAATTTAACAAAAATAACATTTTAGTAGAAAGTGTTATTTGCTGCTGATTTTATTCGTTATTTATTATTACTTGTATGATTCTCCAACTTTGGAAGAATGTGACCGAACATTTGAATTAGATGAAAATTTTGACTTTTATCAATGCAAGTAAATAATTGGCTATAGAATAAATTTAATTAATTAATAAAAGGTGTTTTCAAGACCTCAGAATTTGTAAAATTTCGTTAGTAATTTTACAAACATGCAATACTACATCCCCTGCAAAAGTATTTAGAAACAAAACAAATTGTGGGATGATGTATTCAGAATGCTCTACTGCTGATAAATATAGTTGTAAAGCTGGAATGTGTGAATGCCTTAAGTAAAAAAATAATTTGATAAACTAATAATATACATTGCATTAGGTGTTCTGTCTGTTCCAAATATCGCTAAAATCCGGGTTCTTGGTACCATTATTGGACCCGAAAGGACACTGATTAACTATCATCTTAATAAGTCGAAACCACTGTTTATACTCGTACTTAGGGTCGAAATACGAGTACGCTTAGAGCAAAAAAAGGCTAGTACGAGTACGAGGTACGAGTCTAAAAATAAGCAGATACGAAGTACAAGAAATTCAACTCGTACTTTCGTACTGTTTATTAAAGGAAAAATCGAAAGAAATATGCATAATTTCTTTCAATTTCCCTTATATGAGCAATTGCCAAGCGGTTAAGAGCTTCACTAATGTGTTAGTAATTTAGAGGAGAGCTCGCTTTCTGATCAGAGGACAATGAATTTTCAAATTTTTCTTCCAATAAATAACTTAATGTATAAGCTTAATTTTGTTTTAAAAATTATTCTATTTTTACTTGGATGAATTCGTGTCAGGACAGTTCACCAAAAAACAGTTCACTAAATAGGGTTCTTCGTACCAGCCTATTTTTTGCTCGTACTATACTCGTATTTCGTACCTAAGTACGAGCACGAGTACGAATTTTGGTACAAGCTTATAAACATTGACTAAGATGAGAGTGACACAAATGGGATGCCATCCAGAAGGGGGTTTTAAACAAAAAATCTCAAGGACAAATAGCAAGCTTTTGATGGCAATACATAATTAATCATTTATTCGAAAAGTAATAAATCTAATATTCATTAAAATAAAATTAAGGACAATGGTTACCTGTTTTTCGCATCACAAATGTAATCCAATACCTACTAAAAGTGAGAAATTAAAAACAATTTCTTCCTTTATAAAATAAAATTTTTTAAAGAAGCTCGCTCAATTGGAGTTGTTGCTGTTTTTACTGAAATTATTCTAGGAGATCTAGGTGAATATTCTATGTGGAACTAAAGAAGAATGAAGACTTAAGGAATAAAACTCAAAATTTTGATATTTAAGTACTACATAAGATAACCATTCCTTTGAAACTAATACCAAAAATAAATTTACACCATGATTTTTACATTAAAATTTTTAAATAAGAGATATCGAAGAAATTGGGAATATGAATGGATATCGGAGGGATATAACTGGGTTTGAAAGGATATAACGGGTCTTGGAAAATTGTAGAGCCGTGAAAAATTTTCGGTCTTGGACATCTTTAGCATTTACTATGTAAATCATATAGTAGCTGTTATTTAATTCAGAAGCCTGTGCAGCAGGGATGTCCCGGGTTACCCGAAACCCGACCTTTTTTTCGACCCGATACACGAAACCCGACCCTAGAAATTTTCTAAAAATTGTTTTTAAAAAAGATTTAATTTTAAGAATAATTTAATTACAAATTTGGTTGGAAGAATGTATTTTTAACATTTAAAAAGTTGTTAAATTAAAAAAAGGAAACAAGCATAAAGATATTTTTCATGACAATGATCGCGCACATATTTCTTACATCATTCCTTACATTATGCGCCATCTTGCCAAAATCATTGAAGGATCTATGGTTCTGCGACACAATGGTGAAGGAACCTAAGCTCCTCTACAGAAAATGTTAGAGTAAAATGGACTTAAACTCCAACTTTAGAGGAAATATTAAGAAAATAATAATTAATGTGAAAAAAAATAAAATAAGTAAAAAAGACTCGAAGCCCTACGCCTTGAGAAACAAAAGAAATTAGAATTGTGTATAGCAATTAGAATAGTTTAGAATCTTGTATATTTCCGTTTTTTGTGGGAGAAGTTTCTTTATCCCTTTATGATCTAAATAGAATTTCAAGTTTTGCAACCAAGACACAGATTAAGAAGTGCTTCAGGCATTGATTTGTGGAAATAACCCCTATCGGTTACATAGGCAGTATAATTTAGAAAAAGGCAATGATCGTTTCCACAGTTGAAGCAAAATTCAATTAAATGAAGCAATTCTGCATATCTTTTAGCTCCTGCCAATGGTCCATAGTGATTCTGAAATAGAATATTTTTAAAAATTAAATGCCCAGTCAGGATTTATTGGCAAGGAATTGGGATAAATTATTAAAAAATAAAGTTCTCAATTTCTTTGAAAAATATATTTATTTAGTTAGAGATCGGAAGACGAAAAAAAGTCGGCACTGGTAATAGTAGTTCAATACCAAGCACTGGTGATTGTAGCCCATTGTTACCAAGGCTCTTTTCTTATAATTTTCTTTACATAAATATTCTTTTTCAGTCAGTCCCATAAATGTAAGAAACATCAACATCCCCCAGTTTTTTTCAAAGGATTAAGCTAAAACACCTGTAACAATTTCATCAATATATCAGAATACTTCTCTGCCTCATTCAGTAATAATTGTTGGCCATGTCGACTTAAATCACCCAAGGCAAACTGAGAAAAAATTATAGCGCGAAGGAGAACAAATTCTTCATTGTTTAGTTGAATTCGATTGAATGGCACCAAAGAATCGTCAAATAATTTTTTAAGAAATTTGTTTACCCTAACAAAAAATTAAAGTTAAAACAAAAAATAAAATTTACGTCATATCTTCTTTGTAAATATTTGAACAGAAAACACTTTTAATTGGAACTCCTTGCGGCGAAACAACAGTTTCGGAAGATATCCTACTGCAATAATACCCAAAATAAAGTGCTAAAGTCGGCATGGTGACTGTTGAAATTTGAATAATCTATATGAAAAAACTTCATTTAAACCTGCCCATTCTCTGAATGGTCAATTTTTCGGTTAACCATATGGAGAACATCTCCAGAAGCAAGGGTCAAAAACCCACTAGATCCCTCAAACTCTCCCTCCAACCAAAAAGCCCTCCATCCCTCTCTCCAATCCAAAAACCCCTCCGACATCTCCTATAAAGTCTGTCGGTCATTAAGAGCTAATGACTTTAGAACTTGAGAAAAATTAATCAAATCTGGTATTTAAATAAAAATACATGTAAATCATTCATATATTTTTGGTGAACTAGGAACCTATTATATAAGCAGGAGGACTGATCGTTAAAAACAGAGATGGCTGCAACTCTAATTATAAAAGGCTAACACTAATTAAAAGTTCACCTTGTCAGGTAAATCCAATTTATCGAAAAAAGGCATAGTTCTTGCAGTATCAACAATTATAAGCAACAGATCCGTAAGGGGTTTTGGTAGCGTAGAAAAGACAAACAATCCTTCGATGGGATCACGAGCAGATTTTGAAGATGTTTGCAATCCTATCTTTAAATTTTAAAAAATTTGTTTTGTTTTTGTAAATTCCAACACACATTTTCGTGTTTTATAGCAATTAAATTTTCGTTACGCGTAAGCAATGAAGCTAGAGAATTACACGAAGAATTGTAATGACATTCATCAATCCCTGAAGCTCGCGTACGACAAGCATTTTGCTCGACAGTTAGTAGATAGTCAAGAAGTTGTTTGTTTTGAGCAGCGATTAATGACGTTTGCTAGAATATTATAAAAATCAGCAAATCGAAATGGATTGCCAAAAATAGATTGCCCAAACAAAATAATAATCTACCAAATCAACAAAATTCAGCCCTTCAACAGCACAATTATTAGATTTTCCTTGAACATATTTTCCTTTACTAGCAAGTTCTCTACGTTTATTTTGAATCATTGTTTGTATTTCCAAAACCTTTTCGGGTTGCCTTCCTTTTGCTGTTTGAATATACATTCCTTTTAATATGCATTTATCGAAACGGCAACTTTTGCAGACATTTATATCTTTAATAGTTATTTTAGATAATTTTTTTAAATAAACAAATTCAGATATACGGAAATTGTTGATTCGGATATGCTGGATTTCTCAGTATCCAACGACCCTATTCGTGCTATCATGTGACCAACGAACTTACTAGGGCTGTGAGCCAAAATTTTCTCGTGCAACGCCTGTGGACGCTCAGCCCTCGAAGTTACGTGCACTTAGTTGTATCTCTTTGGTTCGTCACTGAAACTGCCTAGGTCTCCATGAACTGCCTAGGTCTGTCTATATACCTCGACTTAACTTGGCTTCGGGTATCGGGCAACCTGACCCACCCCTTTTAATCTTACAAGGAACCATTCTTTACTGTGACTGCGAATTTGATATATTTTTTGGTACCATTCGATAGAGGACCCTCGACTTAGTATCGTGGCGCTAACCTTTTTCTTGCAAAATTAGTTTGGGCCGAGTTATGGCCGTTCAAAGTTGAACGCTAGAGTCTGAAGTTATAGGGTAAATAAACAACTTCTCTCTTATTTTTCATCCTCAAAGAGCCAAGCCACGCCTCTTCTCTTTGTTTATTGTGTCTTACATTTTTCTCCCTTCTTTTTTTCCTCGCGCCTCTTGCATTCCTTTTTCCTCTTTGCAAAACAATGTGAAGAAAGCAGAGAAAGTGGAAAAAAGTAACAGCGCGCTTCTTATAGGTTTTTTCATTATACTCAACCACTCCCATGGACTGGAAATTTGAACGGCCATAACTCGGCCCAAACTAATTTTGCAAGAAAACGGATAACGCCACGATACTAAGTCGAGGGTCCTCTATCGAATGGTACCAAAAAATATATCAAATTCGCAGTCACAGTAAAGAATGGTTCCTTGTTAATTTAATTGAAAAATATTACTGTAAGACAGATTACAGTTCCCATCTTTTTCACATTTATATTTGTTTTTTGAAGTAATACAACGATGAAAAAAGTGTTTACAGCCTGAAAACAATATCTATATTAATCCAAACTTCCAATTAAATCTATACCATCACAACAAATTACTCCATAAAAGATATAGCCACTAGCCATACGTTCACAGATACTACATTCTGTTGGAACTGGGTTGAGGTTGCGTTTAGGCTTTATTGAAAATTTTCGAATTTTTAAAATTGTATTTTTATTTTCTTCAACTTGTTGATTCTCAACTTTAATTTCTTCGTTATTTTCTTCAATATCGCTTAAATCTTCAAAGTTTTTATGGTTCTCATTTTCTCTCATTTCTTCTAATGTTTCATTGTTAAAATTTGTTGATGACATATTCAAATTTAATTTAGTAATTAATTAAAATTAATTTCCTGTGCAATTTGAATTAAGTGTTAAATTTATTTAACTAAAGATCCAGCTGGCTAGCATTAACCGGTTGCCTAACAGGAATTATGAAAAGAAAAAGAGAGCTTTTACATACCTAACTTCTGACGGTTTCCGAATCATTTTTAGACTGATGTGGCACTTAAAACTTTAAAAAATCTTAAACTTTTTAAAAATTTTATATCCGCAATCGTCGCATCCGCACGTGCGTATCCGCAATTGTCGTACCGCCTTTGATTCCTTACTTCTGCTTAAATCTTAATTTATCCTAAATGTCCTAATAGATATCCTAATTTAATTTGGGACATTTATTAAAAGACTGTCAAGATCTTTCTCCCTTTAAGAGAGTACCTATTGGAAAAGGAGGGAGCTTCTATTAGGATATCTACGATATATAAAAATATTAGGTTGAGGTAAGGGTTGTAGGTTTTGGAATAATTGAAATAATTTATTTTATTTCATCCATTTTTTGAGTAAAAAATATTAATGTGAAATAAATTGATTGAAATAAAAATGATATTAAATCAGTAAAATAAAATAAGTCAATGTTTGTACACCTTGTCAGATTTATGCTTTATAGAAAAAATAATTTAATAAAAAAGATTAAATTTCTTTTAAATTAAATTTTTTTCACCGAGGGTTTAGCCCGTTTTATCGAACTCGGAAATTAAAATTTTATAGCGAATTCCCGATTCATGAAATTTCTCTAAAAAATCTGAAATCTTCGGTAACTAAAAATTATTATTTTTTTCATTGGATGGCTGAACAATTGCTGTCTTATGGCACCTTAATTTCTAAAAAAAATTCCGCCTGCGATGCTAGAAAAGGTAGAAATCTGTCCTTCTCATTTTCTGGCTTTCTAACTCGTATCTCTTTTAATCCTCCAAAACCCTCGTAATCATTTCTAATCCTCGCGCATTTATGCTTTAATTTGAATAGCTCTACTTTAATGTTTAGATAAAAGCATTCTTCTGACCTCATGCTAACACCGACCCCCCAAAAATAGCAAACTTTCCGAAAATCGGGAATTCCCGACGTTTTTTGGTTCGCAAATCGATTCTCGAAATCGGGAATTTATTTTTTATTCTGCTATCCCTGGTATACAGTGACGGAAATCTATTCAAAAAATAAAAAAACAAAGGATAAAAACAAAAATATTTTTCATTAAATATAAATGGCTGCCACTGTAATATTTACATTGTATTTTTGGTTTAATGACATAATTTGTGTTACCATTAGAAACGTCAACTCAAGACTCTGGTTATTTTCGACTAGTATGCGAAAAAAATTTTTGTCCCACAAGATTATACATATGTCTCTCTTCATGGCCCCTGTGCTTTTGCCCAGTCTCTCGTGTTTAAAAGTGCAATTTATGGCCATTTTGAGAATAAAGCAAACAAAGAGAAGTTTCTCTCAACGCAGCTGACAACTTGTCAGTTATTTACACATGAGAGAGCGGCCAACAACACAGGTGCCCTAAATTTTTCTAATCCTGCTAGACAAAAAATTGCCGTAAACTTTTTCGATTTGAACCTGGGTGAAGTCTTGATGTCGTTTCTGATGGTTGAAAAATTCCCTAAATGTCAATAAAAAGGATGATAAGCACTCCATAAAAAACACTTTAAAATTTAATGTCAACTTAAATGGACTTTTCGACTATTATCTTATTAATTCTTGTGTTTTACTAGCTAACTTTATAGATATACTTAAATTTATCAGCTAAAGGCTTCAAAAGCCGGAGGCATCACAAAGCTTTCAAACAAAATCAAAACTGTTTAAGGAGAGATACGACGCTATAATAAACTTATTCAAAACAAAGTTTAATCAAAGCTGTAATTTTAATTGATAAGACGTCTTTAGGGACTAGACTACATAGTAGGGCATATGTAGACTACAATACTTAATATTTTAAAAATATTTTAATTAAAAGTAAAAGTGAAGGAAATTAAAGCAAATAAATCTAAAATTACCTCTCAATTTTTTAGAATAAAATACTGTTAGGGACGTCACTATGGCTACGTTAAAATTAATCACAAGCTACAAAATGCATTGATTTCGAAACCAGAAAATCCAATTTTTATTAAAATACCAGGATTCCGGGCTACCGGATCTAGAAAATCTGGTCTGGTTTCGAACTCCAATGTTTATTTAGTGTGTCTAAAATCTTACAGGTTCGGTACCGGTAGTACCGAAAAGTACCGGTCCGGTACTGTCGGTAGTACCGCTACCGAACCGTGCCGAACACTAATCAGCCTTTCGGTATAATCCGGAAAATCCTGTTTACTTAATTACCCGAATTTCTGACTACCGGATTCGACTCCGATGCATATTTAGGAAGTCTCGAATTTTCTGGCTTATCGAGTATAATTTAAAAAATTAATTTTCGAGATTTAATCTTTCCCTGGCTTATTTCAAAATTAATCCATTTTGTAGCTTGTGATTAATTTTTATTTAGCCAGTAATGTCGTCCCCTGACAGTATTTTATAATAAAAAATTGAGAAAGAATTTTAGATTTATTTGCTTTAATTTCCTTCCATTTTTAATTTTAATTAAAATATTTTTAAAATATTAAGTATTGGGGGTAAATTTTTAGGAGACCAGTCCCAAAAGAATTTTATCAATAAAAATTATAGCTTTGATTAAATTTAGTTCTGAATAAGTTGAGTAAAGCTTTGTTTACTCTCCGTTAAAGAAGCTTTGATTTTATTTGAAAACTTTGCGATAGCTCCGGTTTTTAAAGCTTTAGATGATAAATTTATAGAAAAAAAGTAAAGACAGATTTCTTCCCTTTCTAGCACTGCAGGCGAAATTTTTCAGAAATTAAGGTGCCATAAAAGACAGAAATTCAGCTTTTCAGCCTTTCAATGGGAAATAATGACAATAATTTTTATTTAGCAAAATTTCGGATTTTTTAGAAAATCGCGAATTCGCTATAAAATTTTAATTTCTGATTTCGAGAAATTGGGAAATATCGGCGAGATCCTTGCTGGATACTCACCATTATTTAATCTTTTTTATTAAATTATTTTTTCTATAAAGCATACATAAATCTGACAAGATGTACAAACATTGACTTATTTTATTTTACTGATTTAATATCATTTTTATTTAAATCAATTTATTTCACATTAATATTTTTTACTCAGAAATGAGGGAAATAAAATAGATAGTTCCTTTATTCCGAAACCCCAACTCTTATTGGGGCTTTGGAATAACGTATCCTATTAAAGAGAGAAGATCCTATAATTTTTATATACCGTAAATATCCTAATAAATAGAAGCTCTCCACTTTTCAATAGGTACTCTCTTAAAGAGAGCTAGCCAGCTGTATCTCTAGTGAAATAAATTTAACACTTAATTCAAATTGAACAGGAACTAAATTTTGATTTTTATTACTAAATTCAATTTTAATATGTCATCAACAAATTATATCAATGAAACATTAGAAGAAATAAGAGAAAATGAGGGCCTTAATGATTTCGAAGATTTAAGTGATATTGAAGAAAATAACGAAGAAATTAAAGTAAAGTATCAACAAGTTGGGGAGAATAAAAATACAAATTTAAAAATTCGAAAACTGACAACAAAGATTAAACGGAACCTCAACCCAATTCCAACAGAATGTAGTATCTGTGAACGTATGGCTAGTGGCTATATCTTTTATGGAGTAATTTGTTGTGATGGTAGATTTGTTGGAAGTTTGAATTAATATGTAGATATTGTTTTCAGGCTGTAAACACTTTTTTCACCGTTGTATTACTTCAAAAAACACATATAAATGTGAAAAAGATGGGAACTGTAATCTGTCTTACAGTAATATTTTTGCAATTAAATTAAGCTTATAAGGGATGGGTCGGGTTGCCCGATACCCGAAACCTGGTTAAGTCGAGGTATATAGACATGGAGACCATCTTTTAAAATTGCTGTACTTGTTAGTTAAGCATTCTTTGCCTTGCTATTTCGCTAAAGGTCTAATTAATAGAGTCGGGTAATTATTTATGAACTACGGTAGAGGCTGTTCAATGAAAACCAAGGAGATACATACAATTAGGTACGCGTAACTTCCAGGGCTGAGCGTCATGGCACAGACGTGGTATCTTCCTTGGTCACACGATAGCATGACTATGGTTTGCGGATCTTGAGATATCCACGCATATCCGAATCAACAATTTCCGTATATCTGCTTTATTTATTTAGATGAAGGAAATATTATCTAAGAAAACTAATTAAAGGTAAAAATGTCTGCAAAAGTTGCCGTTTCGATAAATGCATATTAAAAGGAATGTATATTCAAACATCAAAAGGACGGCAACCTGAAAAGGTTTTGGAAATTCAAACAATGATTCAAAATAAACGTAGAGAGCTTGCTAGTAAAGGAAAATATGTTCAAGGAAAATCTAATAATTGTGCTGTTGAAGAAGTGAATTTTGTTGATATGGTAGATTACTATTTTGTTTATTAGGCTTTTCCGATTTTGCTGATTTTTATAATATTCTAGCAAAATTCATTAATCGCTGCTCAAAACAAACAATTTCTTGATTATCTTCTAACTGTCCAGCAAAATGCTTGTCGTACTAAAAATTCAGGGATTGATGAGTGTCATTACAATTCTTCGTGTAATTCTCTCACTTCATTGCTTATGCGTAACGAAAATTTAATTGCTATAAAACACAAAAATGTGTGTTGGAATTGAAAAAAACAAAACAAATTTTTTTAAATTTAAAGATAGGATTGCGAACATCTCCAAAATCTGGTCGTAATCCTATGGAAGGATTGCTTGTCTTTTCTTCGCTACCAAAATTTCTTACGGATCCATTGCTCATAATTGTTGATACTGCAAGAACTATGCCTTTTTTCGATAAATTGGATTTACCTGACAAGGTGATTAATAACTTATTCGATCAGAGCTATAAAATCCCGGATATTTCGAAACGAAACTTTCTTTCACTCTTAAAATAAATGTTAGAAAGGTACAAAATATTTAGCTAAACAACTTGATATGCCCTTTCTTGCCCCTTTTTGGCGATTTGTAAAGGACCACCCTGATCTAGAGAAAAGGTCAGGTTCAAAGGAAGTGCCGATTACAGCTTGATTCGAAGATTTATGTATAATGATTGTTATTATTAAGATTATTCAAATCACAACAATCACCATGCCGACTTTAGCACTACATTCTGGGTATTATTGCAGTAGAAAATTATCCGAAACTGTTGTTTCGCCGCAAGGAGTTCCAATTAAAAGTGTTTTCTGTTCAAATATTTACAAAGAAGACATGACGTAAATTTTAATTTTTGATGAGCTAATTCATAATTCTCTTTGAATTAGAATAAATAAATTTCTCAAAAAATTATTTGACGATTCCTTGGTGCCATTTAATAGAATTCTACTAAACAATGAAGAATTTGTTCTCCTTCGTGCTATAATTAATTCTCAGTTTGCCTTAGGTGATTTAAGTAGACATGGCCGAGAATTATTACTAACTGAGGCAGAGAAGTATTCTGATATGTTGATGAAAATGTTACAGGTGTTTTAGATTTCGATAAAAAAACTTGGGGATGTTGAAATTTCTGACATTTATGGTTTGATTAAAAATGAATATGTCCTTATCAGAATAAAATTATACAGAGCCTTGGTAACAAAGGGCTTCAATCACCAGTGCTTGGTGTTGTACTCTTATCAGTAGGGTTTCACAAAATATGCACCGAAATATGCAATATTTCCTAAAATATGCACTAGATATGCAGAAATAAAAGTGAAAATATAGTTTAAGTAAATAACACTAATTTGGCTTTAAGATTTGATGGATCAAAATTTCTGCAAAATAATATTTTTGAAAAAATTTTTTGACCAAAAAAATCAAAGAATTTGAAAATTTTAACCATTTTTGGCTAATTTTTCAAAAAAAGAAGAAATATGAACTAAATTTTGCGAAATTAGCCTAAAATATGCACCTATATGCAAATATGCACGAGAGTACCGAAATATTCAAATATAACGTATTTCCTCTAATAGAACGACATGTCTATCCCAATTGTTATTGATAAATTTTGACTCTGCGCTTAATTTTAAAATATTCTACATATTTAAGAATCACTATGGACCACTGGCAGGAGCTAAAAGATATGCAGAATTGCTTCATTTAATTGAATTCTGCTTCAACCGTGGAAACGATCACTGCCTTTTTCTAAATTACATAGCTTATGTAACCGATCGGGATTATTTCCATAACTCAATGCCTGAAGCACTTGTTACTCTCTGTCTTGGTTGCAAAACTTGAAATTATATTTATAACAGAAAGGGTTAATAAAGAAGTTTCTACTCACAAAAAACGAAAATATACAAGATTTTAATTTTTATTGTTTCTCTAGGGGCTGAGTTTAGTCTCTTTCTATCTAATTTTTATTTATATGTATCAATCATTATTTCTTTAATATTTTCTTTAAAGTTGGATTTCTCTCCATTTTAATTTAACATTTTTTTGTAAAGTTATGGTTCCTTCAGCGTTGCGCCACAGAATCATAGGTCCCCGACTGATTTTGGAAAGATGGCGCATAATGAAAGGAATGATGCAAGAAATATGTATGTATATGCGTGGTCATTGCCATAGATGGGTCGGTTAGCCTTTGCCTCCCAAAATTATCAAAAATTCTGCTGTTTAGCAAAAAAATTTTTGTTTGAATTTTAATGTGCAATGATTTCTTTTATATTTTTCTCCAAAATTAATTTTATCTGATTTTCTTATTTAACGCGGGAGTCAACCCTCACGGGAGTCAACGGTCGCTGGGTTCTACAACAGTAACATAAACCTATCACTTTTTACTATTTTCAGCTTTGAAATGCCGACCTACCGACTAAGTATATGCATAAAATTAGTTATTCCAGAGAATTTTTTAATATTGCTCTAATAAATCCAAAAATTTACTCCGACGCCCAAAATGCACCGCGCCTAAAATTTTAGAGCCCAATTTTCCGTTTTTCTCACTTACAAATTAGGGCCCAAAATTCCGCTGGAGCCTAATTTTCCGAAAAGTTGGAGCCCAAATTTACGAAAAATCTTGGAGCCCAATTTTCCAGACACCTACGTTCCATATGAATGTACAGTGTGTTAAGAAATTATAACTAGAGATCGGCCGGAAGGCAATATCAAATATTTGATCAAATAATTTGAAAATTATTTGATATTTGAAAAAATTTGATTTCTACCAAAAGTCATCAAACAAATATTTGATCAAATTATTTGAAAATTATTTGATATTTGAAAAAATTTGATTAGCAGAGTCAAATATTTGATCAAATATCAAATTTTTTAAAAATTTTTAGAATAACATATAGATCGGGGTATTTGAGAGTATATCGGGGATATTAGGATATGGAGATGATATCGGAGGATTAAGATGGATGTGTAGGGATTAATGGGTATATAAGGGAATTGTAAGGCTTAACGGGGATACAAGGGGATAAGGGTGATAAATGGGCTATGAAATAATATAGGGATAATAGTTGATATCAGGATATCAGACAGTTAGAATATCTATATCCCACTTAATTCCTCGATATCCATCACAAATCCCCCTATATCCCTTTTAATCCAAAAATCCTTCCAATCCGTCGATATCCATCCAGCTTACATGATATCCAACCAAATTACCATTTTTCTATAAAGAAGGATTTTTGTATCCTTTTTAATCCCTTTTACTACCCACAAATCCACCAGTATCCTTTATAGTCCTTCAAAATCCTTAGATATCCCCGCTAACAAAAGTTTAACATATATAACATTTAAACAAAAAAAAATTTTTTTGAAAAAAAATCCAAAAAAATTCCGGATCCGGTCCGGAATCCTGGTGTCTTCTGACTGACTCCGGAAATTATTTTCACCGGATTAAAACTGGACCGCATTAATCGGAAAAATCAGGCCGGATCCGGTCAGGAAAACCCAAAATCCGGTCTCATGACCAGAAAAAACTATTTTGGCTATCACTAATAATTTGTCTTGAGCGAAAATCTCCGTTACCATATCGTTATTCTAATAAAAATATGCCAATTTTACATTTTTGTACGAAAATCAAATAATTTTCAAATTATTTGATATTTGATCAAATATTTGAATTTTCTGACCCTCATCAAACAAATATTTGATCAAATTATTTGAAAATTATTTGATATTTGAAAAAATCAAATTTTCCCAAAAAGTGGTCAAACAAATATTTGATCAAATAAATTCAAATAAAATTTGATCAAATATTTGATTTTATTTGACCAAATATTTGTTTGACCGATCTCTAATTATAACCCCCTTGAATTTTTTGAGTTTCTCAATCTTCCCGTTGTTGGATTATTCTGAAATTTTTGTAGTAGTGTTGTAATGTATATTAAATAATATTTTCTAATAATTAGAAAAAATATAAAAAAATTTTTTTGTTTTGATTAAATATTTCACAATTTAAATTTAGACGTTATTTTTTAAAGTGCATAAAAAGTGCATCATCATGCTTAAAATATTTCAAAATACCTATTTGCCCTTATTTTGTCTAAAATATGAGTATATGTACACATAACGAATATTTTCATTTGTCTAAATTTTTAAAATATTTATCTAGATATTAAATGTCTCTAAAAAATTTTTGTTTAATTATTTATTTAATAGTATTTATAATAAATAATTTAACATTTTCAACGCCAAATAATTCTGATAATTCTTTGGAAAGTGATTATTGTAATTTTTAATTAAAAATATTTTTCTTAAAATTTAAATAAATTAAGCATTAAGTGAAGATGGTAATTCTTCAAATTTTTCTTTAAATGAAATAAAAAATAAAAAGGTTAGAGGAGGAGGAGAAGGTAAAAGGAAATTGGATGATTTTAGTCAAAATAATTCTAAAAAAAGAAATATATATCAAAAGTAAATTTTAAAAAATATTTTTTTGTTTAAATTATTACAAATTAATTTAGGTATGACAAAAAGAAAATTGATGAAATTTTTAAGATACAAGAATATTTTTTTCCAAATGAAAATTTAAATATAAAGAATAAAGGAGATTTAAAATTACAAAAAGAAATAATGGAATATTTAAAAAATAATAATCCTGAAATGAGAGAAGCTTTAATTAATTATAAGAAAATTCCTAATAAAAATATAGATAATATAGAGGTTTCTAATTTATATAATCTTGCAGTCAGTATATAAAATACTGGCTGCGACTGATAGCTAAATACAAGGGTTGCACGAGGTCGAAGTTTTTAGAAAAAGCCGAGATCGAGGGGCAATTTTGGACCCGAGTAATATTAATAAGAGTGCAGGACTTTAAAATAAAATAAACTAATTTTTAAATTATTAGGAACCAATATTTCAAGGCTTTTGTGTTCTTTTCTTGTTTGGAGGTATAAAAATACGTAATATAGCAAAACATTTTAAATTTAATTTTGTTTTTGTTACAAAATTACTTCATAAAAGAAAAGTCAATTTAAAGAAAAGGTTTTTAAATTTTATAAAATAGTTTTTAAAATGTTGTGTCAAAACTAGAGTTGATCAAGACGAGACCGATACCGAGACCGATACCGAGATTCTCGGCTTTTTTCCAATATCGGTCTCGGTTTTTTCATTCTCGGTCTCGAAACCGATACCGATATTCTCGGTCCATTTCTCGGCGAGAAACGATACTGACTCAAAGAGACAAAATTCTTAATATTGTCCAAGTTTTTGTTCATAATTTTTTTCGGTTATCCGTCCATAACAGAGAAAGTGAATTTTTTCGAATAAGGTCTTCTAAAATTAAAAAAATTTTCGCCTGCGGTGCTGAAAAAGGAAGAAATTTGGTGACTTGACCTTCCAAAATTTAATAAATTTGCGTCTGCGGCGCTGATTTGTTGAATTTTCCGAGCCCTCGGCCGTTAGATTTTCAAGATTTTGATTACAGAGCCTTCAGATTTTTGGCAACTGTTGTCCCCACCATTGGATT